ACTCCAGCCACTCCTCCTAGCATTTGTAAGCTATTCTGCCCTAATTGGAGGAGGTGCTGGAGTATACAGACTCGGGGAGGTTAACTGAAGGAGTTCACCTGTGCAGCTACGGAGTACTCATCAGGATTCTCTACAGGAACAGAATTGATAGAAAATATATATATTAGTATATATTTGTATACATATGTTTAAAAGGGGATTTATTGGAGTAGCTTACAGGTCATCTGGATAGTCCAACATGGCTGTCTACAGTAGTTGCTCAGCAGTCCTAATCTGGTGCTGGAGTCCTGGAGGATTCCTAGGGAACTTCTGGTCTCTGCACTGGACTCCTGAAGAAGGTTCTCAAACCAGCAGAAAAGTACCTCAGCAGCAGGATAGAGGAACATGTCAGTGAGAGTGAGGGTAAGCAGGCAAAAAGCAAAAACTTCCTTCTTCCATGTCCTTTTATGTGGGCTGCCACCACAAGGTGTGGTTCAGATTTAGGGTGGGTTCTGACCTCAAATGATCCAGTCAAGAAAAATCCCCCACAGGCTGCCCAGCTGCTTGGATTTTAGTTGATTCCAGATGTCAAGTCCAGATGACAAATGGCATTAGCTATCACATGGAGAAGCAGCTGTGGAGTCACCCACACTTCTGTGGGCAGCCCAATAAACTCACCGGTTCCTGGGGGTGAACTTTGGTGGAATTGTGCTCTGGGTTCTTTATAAGGTGGGGGTAGATGTTTACACATCCTCGGACGATAGAATATCCCCCAATTTAAAAAAAAAAAAAAAAGGAAAGGAAACCCTTCCCTTAATTTTGCTTTCTCACCAGTGAATCTATTCTTTGCAAAGTGCTTCATTCCATATTGATATTTGGGGTCTTAAATGTCTCATTTCCTGCTCGGAACAAACAAACAAGCTTTGAAATTTTGCCTAGGATCGGGATGAGAAATGAGGGTGAGTCTGAGCATGGAGGACGCTCCCCCTACTGGCCAGTCTGAGGACAGCAGGCTCCTAGGTCAGTTCAATCTGTCTGTGAGAGACTTCATGGGTGTGTTTGGTGGTTAGTCTGAGTGTGACTGTGTGCGCTTGTGCAAGTGTATTTTTAATGTGTGCTATGTGTGTACATGTGGAGGCAAACGTGTAAAGTATGGAGGACGTTTTTATGTGTGCCTGTTTGTGTGTGTGTGTGTTTACATACTGTGCTGGTTTTTAAGTGTGTATGTGTGTGTGTGTGTGTGTGTGTGTGTGTGTGTGTGTGTGTGTGTTGTAGTTTCTGGGATTTCTGTCACAGCCCCTTGGCCCTGTTCCTAGACCCGACCTTTCCAGTGCAGGCTGCACACTCCAGACAAACATAGCCCTCAGGGCCAACCTGAGCTATGCTTCAGTCCTGAAGGGTGGCCACGGGCCAGTAAATATCCCAGCTCCAGGAATGACTAAGATGTGTACTTGATGCTGCCTGTCTCCCAGAGTCCCTCACTAGATCTGAGCCTGGATGGGCACTGTGCAGACTTCAACAACTTTAACTCCTGCCTCCCCTTCCCATCCCACTTCCCCACGGCATCGCTGGTTTCCAGGGATTATCTTTTAACAGCTGGCAGTTAAAGCCTTGTCTAAGGGTCCCCTCCAAAACCAGGATTTGAACTGCACTTTTTTTTCACAATGGTCTGCCTATGTGGATGCTGAAGTAGGACATGGTAACTGGCTCAGGCATGCTCCTGAAGCGTGTAATCATACCCTTAGGAATGTGAGACTCTAAGAAGGCAGCTTACTTGCTCAATGTCACACAGCTGGTGAGTGGCAGAAGCCAGCTTTTTATAGGTTCACCTGATCCCAAGCCAGGTGTTCACAGCTTTTTCAAAAGGCTGCTAAGGTCAGAGGACGCTCAATGGGTGTTTATAGCTACCAAGTTCCTTGATGGGTATGCGAAAGGGATCCAGAATCCTAGCTGGTAGCTATGTCCTCATCCCATCACAAAGTAATGATGGCGAATCAGACTTGGTGGTGCCTGTACACTGGGGGTGAGTGTTGCTTTAATTCTTTGCTCAATATTATGTATTTAATATTCACACCAACCCTCTATTTCCTCTGATGAATGTGAAAAAACTGCAGCACAGTGAGTTATAGAGAAGTGACCTAAGTCACAGCTGGTACTGACAGGTGCCATGCGGTCTGTTCTCATAGACAATGACGTCTGACTCTCATAGGTCACATATATGGAGTCCTATTGTGTGTCAAGCACGGCATGCAACAGTTTCCTTTTTAAATATAAATGATAGTTGTACAGAATAGTAAATGTTGTTTAAAGTGCTATCTACCCTTCATATAAGAAACGGGGCTGAGGAATGGCTCAGTGGGTGAGTGAAATCTACTTCTAGGTGGAGACATGCCCTTGTCTCTTCCTTTAAGGGTTAATCCAGTTGGGCAGGGCAGGAATGTGGCTAGAGGCTCACCCACAGGAGAGTGGGCCCATCTTAAGATAATGCACTTTTCCTTCCCAGAATGCCCAGGTGCTAGTGCAATGCCCAGGAGCCTCCATCGGGTTCATTGGCTCTGTTCACCTTTCTGAGTCAGTAACTTTTTCGTTTGGATACTGATAAGAGCCCGACTATGCCTCTTTAACTCCCTAATGCTCTGGACTTCTTTACTCCTTTTCTCAAGTTCCTTCTTCATCGTGTGACTGCCTGCCTCCATGTGGCTGACTTTCACGCCAGGTTGGCTTTTCCATTCTCCTCCTCGACAGAGCTTTGAGACTGACAGCTAGTGGGCCCTGGAGATTTCCTTTGAGACTCTAACAAATTATCCTTAATCTTCTGCTTGAGTCTGTAATTTGTCCTTGAGTTCCTGTTTATTAGTCACTTTTCGGTTACTGTGATAAAGGCAACTAACTCATAAAAGAAAGAATTTATTTTGGGTTATGGTTCCAGAGGGACAGAATCCATAGTGGCAGATGGAGGTGGCAGGTGGACACGGCAGCTGGAGTAGAAAACCAAGAGCTCACGTCTTGAACTACAAGCACCAGAGAAAGTAAACTGCAAGGAGGGTGAGGCCTCAAATTCTCAAAGCCCATCCCCAGTGATATACTTCCTCCAGCAAGGCCACACCTCCTAACCCTCCCCAAACAGTGCCATCAAGGACAAAGTACTCAAATGCTTGAGGCTATGGGAGACATTTCCCACTCAAATAACCACACTTTTTTTTACTGTGACTGAAAACCCCATGGCGGGGGATACAATTTTTCTGTTATCATTTGATGACTCTTCAGGAACTCTCTAAGATCTCCAGTAATGCTTCTTCCCTGCCTTTTAATTAGCAAATGAACCAACAAAACTAAACAAACAAGCAAAAAAGCCAAAAGCAAACAAACAAAAAAACTGTTCTTGCAACCCTAGAGGGTATTACATTTGCTTGCAAACACAAGGACCTGGGTTCAAATGCCCAGAACCCATACAAGGTCAGGCACAATGGCACAAATCTATAATGTTAGTACTCTTGTAGAAAGGGAGGTGGAGATGGGAGAATCCCTGGGAGCTTGTGAGTCATTTAGCCTGGAGCACACAGCTGCAAAATCAACAAGAGACCCTCAAAAAAGGTGGATGGTGAGGACTGACACCCAAGGTTGTCCTCTGACCCATGCCTGGTACTCCTCTGCGTGGATCCATCTGTTCATGGTTCCTCTCGGCTTCACCGACACCTGCCTGCACGTTGCCCCCAAGCTCATATCCAGATCAACCTAAGTGTTGTTCTTCTAACTGGGCTGCTGATTCCTGGAATCCGACCTGGGGAATCAATCACCGGGCTGCATTCTTTGCTCCTGCTCCAAAGAATCGCGTCTCTATCCAGACTCTGCCTCAGAATTTTGAATTTTGAATTTTGAATTTTGCCATACTGTGTTGTTGGTAGGCAGAGGCAATCCTGGAGCCTCCTAGTTTTGTGCTATGAAGGACCTTACCAGAGAAGTTTCTTTGTGCCGTGGACAGCACTTCACGTCGAGACTCACAGCTGGTCAAGTGAGAATAAATGGGACAACTGTGTCGTAACCACGCCCCACAAGATTCAAGGATCCTTGAGGAAGCTGGGCAAAATGACCATAAGAGCCAGAAGTCTGGGAGAATGGGACCTAACAGTGCCTTCTGGATATGACCGGACTTCCGCATGCATGGATACACAGCAGCTGTAGCTGTCTGCCCAAGACCTGCTCAAGATCAAGACAGTCAGCATTCCAGCACTGGGGGAGGGATCACGGAGCCCCAAGCCCTGACTGAGGAGCTGTTGGCAGCTGATCGGGGAGGGAGAGTCAGTTTTCTTTAGGGGATCTGGCCCCTGGTAGGCCTTCTGCCCCTGGTAGGCCTTGCATCTATTTGAATCAGGAAACAACTTAAAAAAAAAAAAAAGAGGTGGGGGTGAGGGGGTAGGAAGCTGATCTGCAAGGAATTAAGTGGCAGAGAAGAGGTGAATCTGATCAAAATACATTTTATGCATGTATAAAATTCTCAACAAATTAATACAGAATATTATGTATGCATGTTTAAAAAAGGAATGGTACAAGCTGTCAGTGCAGTCCCATGCAGAAGACTTCAGGAGACGGTCTGTGATGGGCCTGGCCTGGCCTGGCTCCGTTCCCCTGGCACCTGAACTCCTGATAATGATTTTACTAGATATACCTTATTCTTGGAAGAGTAGGGGCAGCTATAAATGTGGGGCTCAGCCTTACCTCTGCTCACCTTAGAATCTTGCTCACTCCCAAATCTCACCCTCCCCCCACCGTGTGAGAAGGGCCAAGTCCTAAGGATCTGGCATCCATGCTGTTTGTCCCTGAATTAACTCCACTCTGTAGCCTGCTGACCAACCCCCCTCCCCTTGGCCATCAGCCCAGGAGGGGAGGCGGCAGATGAGCCAGTGGAGGATTGGCTGACACAGCTGAGCCTGGCCTCCCATCACCTCCTCCAGGGCAGAAGCCTGGAACAAAGGAGCCAGCTCTAGAGGGGGAGAACTGTGGGAAACACACTGTTCCTGAGAGGAGGTGCCAGGCTAAGGGAGGTAGAGTTGTCGGGTCCTGTACCGGGTTAGAGAGCGCTCTGAACTCTCTAGGCACTCCTTAGGAAGCCCAAAAGCCACAGTGACCCTGTTCGCTTCCAGGTAACAGCCCCTGGCAGCCTCACTCTGATTCAGATATTTGGGGACTCCTGTCTCTCCTCTTCTTCTTACTGCCCCTCTCCTCCCCGTGGACCAATCCTCCTGCCGACAGCCTTCACTCTCCCTACCCCTGTCTACTATCCCCGAGGACCCCATCCCTCTTCCCAGTCTCTGAATCTCACTCTCTGTCCATCTGCCCCACAGAATGCCACAGTTGGATCTGTCCTGGTTGGGATTGAGCCTGGAGGCATCCTCTCTGTGGATGCTTGTACTGCTTGTCGGAGCTTCCTGGCTCTTGGCCCGTGTCCTGACTCAGACCTATACCTTCTATGGCACATATCAACATCTTTGTGGTTTCCCTCAGCCCCCCAAACGGAACTGGTTCTTGGGTCACCTGGGCATGGTGAGTGTGGCAGCAGATTGTGGATCTCCTATTGAGGAGTGAATGCACCAGGAATGGGGTTCAGGGGGACAGTGGCCCGAGTCCTCCAGTGTCCTCTAGCTTTTCTCTTCCTGTCTGCCACCCTTCGTTAGCTCTGGATCCATTTCTGCTCTGTTTTTCTTAAACACTGGTGGACACTGAGGGGCTTCCAGGGTGGATCATACAGAGTGAGGACCCCTGGTGTTCCCACATTGTCTGCGGGTGGACTTGGGGCCTCCTGAGAAGCCCTGTCCAAGGTCAGTGCCATTTTTTCTGTCAGTCCATGTCTGGGTTTCTGTGTTTTGCTGAGGGTGATCTTTGGTATCCCTCTTCCACCACACACAGAGCAAGAGAACTATGGACTGTCTTCCTGACTCCTGTTCCTGAAGCAATTTTTTTTTATGCTTGCAGTTCTCCCCTCAGATGGACCAGTGAGTCCTGTTGCCCAAGCAAGATAAAAGCTGTCCACTCCCCCTCCCACAAGCTGTCCTTTGACTCCACCCCTTGGACGTTCACCAAGCCTATACTCTCTTTTTCGTGACTTGGTCCTGGTTGCTTCATTTGCAAATAGCAAAGCTCACAACATACATACATACATGTTAATGACATCACTCACAGGATGATGCCAAAATACTACATATAGGAATTCTTCAGGTCCATGATGATCTTATAGGACCAGGGTCACACACATATGCAGTGTGTCAGTGATATGAACATCACTATGCAGCATGATTTTATTCATACAGTTATGCAAATATATTTATGTGAATATATAAATATATACATAATTGATATACAAGCTCTATCCAACACATTATGTATATATCATTACGCCATATATCACTATATACATATATATGCACATATATATATATATCTCCACATGAGAGTGATGTAGCTTGAGTTTTCCTGCCTGGCCCACAGTCAGGACAAATCTCTCTTACCCGCCATTCCCGCAACCGCTCAGACCCGACCAAGTAAACACAGAGACTTATATTAGTTTCAAACTGTATGGCCATGGCAGGCTTCTTGCAAACTGTTCTTACAGCTTAAATTAATCCATTTCTATTAATCTATACCTTGCCACATGGCTCGTGGCTTACCGTCATCTTCACATGCGGCTTGTCATCATGGCGGCTGGCAGTGTCTCTCTGACTCAACCTTCCACTTCCCAGCTCTATTCTCCTCCTTGTCCCGCCTACACTTCCTGCCTGGCCACGGGCCAATCAGTGATTTATTTATTGACCAATCAGTAACACATTTGACATACAGACCATCCCACAGCAGAGTGAGGGTAGAGAGAGGGGGGTACATTGTGTTACTGTCACTGGTTTATATAATTATGGACTCTGAGCACGCTACAATATGTCATCTGCAAAGTGGGGGACTGGGAAGCCAGGCTGTAATTAATTCAATCTGAGAGACCAAAGGCTTGGCATCCTGTGTATGGGGGATCCTTGAGGAAGGAGCCATCCTGTGGGATGGGGTAGAGTCCAAAGGTCAAGGACCTGTACTGTGATGTCTGTGGGCAAAAGAAGAAGGGTGCACCAGTCTGGAAATGAGAGTGAATTTTCCCTTCCTCCGTCTATGGTTCTACACCAGCAGTTCTCAACCTGGGGGTTGAGATCCCCTTGGGGGAGTCACATATCAGATATCCTGCATATCAGATATGTACATTACGAATCACAACACTAGCAAAATTACAGTTATGAAGTAGCAACAAAGATAATTTTATGGTTAGGGGTCACCACAACATGAAGGACTGTATGAAAGGATCACAGCATTGGGAAGGTTGGGAACCATTGCTCTATATGGTTCTTTAGTCGGATGGATGGTGCCACCCACCCTGTGGAGGGTGGGTCATCCTGACCAAGACTACTGATGCACACACCAATGCCTTCTGGAAACACCATCACAGAGATATCCAGAAGTCATGTTGTATCAGCTGCCTGAGCATCTCATAAGCATAATGCACTTGACTCCTGACAAATCATCCCAGGAAGTGACTGCTCCTGTCTTGCTTATAGATCACTCCCACCGAGCAGGGTCTGAAGGAGGTGACTAAGCTGGTGGCCACCTACCCCCAGGGCTTCAGGACATGGATGGGTCCCATCTTCCCCATCATCACTCTGTGTCACCCTGACATCATTCGATCTGTCCTCAATGCCTCAGGTACTCGGGGGAAGCTGGTAGTGGTGTGGCTAAGGGAAACGGGGGGCTTCTAGTCTTCACATTCATGCTTCTGTGTGATTCCTGAAGTAGCCCTGTCATGCTTTCCCTACTTTCCACTGAAGTTGTCAGGATGAAGCCCAGGCAAGGCTCAGCGCAGAGGATGAGAGAGTGCTGGATAGAATTCTCAGGGCTCACTCTGGCCACCTGACTTGGTAATTTTTTACTTGGAAAGCCTAGAGGACGTGGGACCCCTTTCTTCTCATCTCCATTCAGAGCTAAGAGGAAGGAATCCTGTACACCCATGGTGTGGTGTGCACCACTGGGGGGGTATGCTACCGGAGGGTGGAGACCTGGCAGGTGGTTATCTACATCTTCCACCAAACCTCAAAGAGGCTCCTGTTTTCCGATCCAGGTGGACATTGGACTAGACTGTTTGTCCACTGCTAAGATCTCCATGCTGCCTCCAGCGGGTGCATATGACCAGAGTGCAGGCAGATGGGGCTCTGGTGATTCCCCTGCCTCTGCCTCACCTGTATTTCAGTATGAAACTTGACTGATGTGGCCATCTCCAGATTACACCTCATGGAGCAGCTCTTTTTGTTGCTATTTTTAGCACAACTTAAATGAGGGAAAGATTGATTTTGATTTGTGGGTCAGAGTCCATCATGATAAAAGAGAGATAGACACATAACCATGGAGAGAAGGAGGGAGGAAACAGGGGAGGAGGGAACTCAATTCAATATATTTCAAAGGGATTACTCCAATGACCTTTCTCCAGTTAAGGTCCACTTCCTAAGATTTCTAGAATCACCCCAAATAGAGGCAGCATCTGAGGACTAAATCTTTCAAAATACAAGCTGGTTGGGTGTTTCATACTGGGACCTGCCTATGGAGCACACTGAGATGTATCAGACCATCTCTATCCATTTCACAGCAGATGGGTTCATTTAGGGGATGTCATGTGTATTTCAGCCTTGTTAGCCCATATTACCCCATATATGTCCACGACTATGTCAGGAGATGTTACAGCATGCTGGGGTGGACAGCTATGCTAGGTCTGTAGAATGTTGTGCTGCTCTTGAAGGGCAGACTTGGTAGACTATGTTGAAGTCAAGTGAAGGGATGATGAGTTAAGTTGATGCTGTCTTATCTTGTATCCTGCTTCCTCCATCTCCTCTCTGCTTCCTATGTCCATTTCTCCAACCCTGTCATTCTGGGCTTGGGGCAGACTTGCACACACCTCGCTGAGGCCCCCACACTCTGCAAGTTCATTTCCTAGTCTCTCCATGGCTCCTGATCATCCTTGTTCATATCAGTTGCGGTTGCCCTAAAGGAAGTAATCTTCTACACTTTCCTGAAACCCTGGCTGGGTGAGTAGCTACAGATGAAGGGCCTAGGAATATCCTCAGGGGTGGGGGGATATGCTACCATTGCTTACTGCCATGTTACTCTACCAGGGGACGGGCTCTTGCTGAGTGCTGGTGACAAGTGGAGCCGCCACCGTCGCATGCTGACACCCGCCTTTCATTTCAACATTCTGAAGCCGTATATGAAGATTTTCAATGACAGCACCAACATCATGCACGTAAGTCCCTGGAACCCAGCTTCTCAGGAAAAAGGCCTCAGATAGATCTGGTGTGTACTCTAAAGGGTAATGCTGGGACCATGTTTTATTTTATTTTCCTCTCTATTTTGTGTCCAAGAAAATCCTATAGAGCCATATCTTCCCACATAGTGAGTGTTTATAAAGAGTTAGTTTCTATTTTTAGAGATGGTTGCCTTGGAAACTAGATATAGATAGGACTATATCGACACTGCCGCTAAGGAGCAGGGCCCTGCCACACACACCAGTTTGGAAACAATGAGGTCTGATGTTGCTAATAAGGGTGTAGGTCAGGGGGCTGGTTCTTCTGGACAGGGTTTGGGTCACTTGTGGCATATGATAAGCCATGGGTCAGCTTTCCTGATACCAGCATAATTCTCTGACGTTTGGGACTTGACCAACTTCAAGCTAATTTAGTGTGGTCTCAGAAGGACAGTCTGGACTCTTGTCTCTAAGGTTCTCTCTCTTCAGAAGGCATCCTGGGTTTCTTCCTATGGCACACATTTCCGTAGGAGAGAATCTGGAAGTCAGCTGAAGCTTGGGTTTCATTGAGGTTATAGCTCCTTCCGTTTTCCTAGCCTATATTAGTCAAAGTCATAAATCTAACACAAAGCAAAGGGTGGTAGAAAAAGTTCAACTTTCTAATAGACATTGCTGAAAACTCACATTATACTGGGTTGAGGAACAAGACAGGCACGGGCGGGGGGGGGGGGGGGGGAGTGGAAGGCACGTGAAGGGCCAACAGTTTTCTTTTCTACTTGTTAGCTGACTGCTTAGCTTGTTTACTTGTGGATTCTGCTAGACCACACAGATTCCACGTTCAAACACAAAAGGCAGTCAGTTACTCACTGTGCATCATCTCGGCTTCTGTTCTTTCTTGAAAGCATCTAAATTCCATGGGGCATCACAAGTGGGCTTCAACAGATGCAACCTATGACCTACATTGTGTTGCTTAGTTTTAGGGAATTTGCTTTTATAACAAGGTGGAATGGGTCCGATATTTGCCCAAGGAGAGTCATCACTGGATCTCTCAGGGGTTTCTGCAAGTATCTATGAAGTAGCCCAGGTTAAGAACATTGGAATGAGCTGGGGAGTGGTGACACATGCCTTTAATCCCAGCACTCAGGAGGCAGAGGCAGACGGATCTCTGAGTTCAAGGCCAGCCTGGTCTACAAAGAAAGTTCCAGGACAGCTAGGGCTTTTACACAGAGAAACCCTGTCATGAAAAACCAAAAAGAAAAAAGAGTGTTGATATGATTTATGTTTGGAATACTTAGTAAGGGTGCTTAGAAAACATGGAGGTCAGCCATGCTTGACATAGAGGTAGCTTTAAGTTCAACTTATGATACTCAAGGAATAATACCATTTATTGCATTCACAACATGTTCTGGAACTGAGGGTTATGACCCAATTCCATAATTTATGCTGCAAATTTAATTTTCAACAAACCTGTGAGATAGAGGTTACTTTTTCCTTGTTAGGGATGAACCTGAAGTTTGGAAGCATAAAGGAATTGTTCTACTCTGCCCAGGTAGTAATTGATCTAGAAATAGTGGCACATGGGCTCCTTTGTGGTTTATCAGACACAGTCAAGACATGGCACGTGAGACAGAGGGCAATGAGCTGATTGAGGGTTCACAGAGCGTGGGAGTCAGAGATGAGGCTTAAACTCAGGGCTCCTGATCTTCAGCCTTGGCTCTACATAACAGTATTGCTCCCACTCAAGTCTGGTTATTCTCAGGGTCAAGTGTCTGGAGCATAGACTTGGGAGGCTGATTTAGGGTATCCATTCCTGTGGTTGTGATTGGGTAGAGTCTCAAGGATCTGTGACCCGGTTATGATACTGTTTCTTTTCTGTAAAGGCCAAATGGCAGCGCCTGGTCTCAGGGGGCAGCGCCCGTCTGGACATGTTTGAGAACATCAGCCTGATGACCTTGGACAGTCTGCAGAAATGTGTCTTCAGCTTCGATAGCAACTGCCAGGAGTGAGTTCCTCCCACTAGCCTGAGAACCTGGATTATGGACCTAAGGGAGGAGGTGCAAGAGTGATGACTGGCCAGTAGGAAAAGAGGGGGCTCCCTGGAGGAGGTGATTTAGAGCAAGATCCAGGGATGCAGATGTAAATCATGTAAATCTGGCCTGGAGGAGGCACCTTAGACCTGAGATCACCAGGTTGACGCTTCTGAATTAGGTACTTTTTTCATTGCCACACAAAGTAACTGGTAAAAGCCATTTAAGGAAGGGTTTATTTCAGCTCACAGTTTGAGGGAAACTCCATCATGGTGAGGAAGACCAGGCAGCAGGCTGGCTACACTGTGTCTGTAGTCAGGAAGCAAAGACTAATGAACGTTTATGCTCAACTAGTTTTCTCTTTTTTATGTTGTCTGAAACCCCCTTCTCATTGTAGATATGAAAAAGGGCAGAGAGCAGTAGCCATCCCATATCCTGAATGCTATGATGTCTTGAAATTTTCTTCACTCGAAAGGTCTACCACCTTTTAATTCAGTCCCACACAAGTTCTTAGGACATCGGGAGAAAGAAGCCAAATTTGTTGCCAGAAAAGCATCAGGAATGGGCTAGTTCCTGACAGAGCTCACACACACACACACACACACACACACACACACACACACACACACACACACACACACCAAAAAACCCCCACATGATCTAGGTCTCCATTAACTGCATTTCTTTTTGATATTCTGGTCTACCAAACTCCCATCAGAATTTTCCTTTAAGCTCTTCTTACAGAATTTAAGGGCTTTTCTGGCTCATCATTTCAGATTCTTCTATGTTTCTTCTACAAGCAAGTTTCAAAGGCCCAAGAACCACATATTCAGGATTATTACAGTTAAGATCCCACTTCTGGTACCAATTTACATATTACTTGTGTTTCTTGTTGACACAACAAAAAATAAAGAAGGAAGGATTTGTTTTGGGTTAAAGTTGAGGGGAAGTCACAGGTGTAGGAGTGTGAGACTGATGGTCACATTGCATCCACAGTCAGGAAGCAGAGAGCAATGAGCAGTTATGCTCAAGTAACTTCTTCCTTTTTGTGTCATCTGAAAGCCCCAGGCACGGCATAATGTTCCCTTATTAAGGTGGGTATTACCACCTCAATTAACCCAGTCTAGAGAATCCAGATGTGCTCAGAAATTTGTCTGCAAGGTGATTCTAGATTTTGTCAAGTTGACAATCTGTATACAACAACATAGTGGCTAAACCATAAGGACACGAAAGCCAGACAAAGGTTGGAATTTTCTCCTATAGTCTCTACCAAGGGTATTTGTACTTGTAGTCACTTCTGTTTCTGTGACAACATTTCTGAGGGTATTGACCTAATCAGAAGATGCATTTATTGTGCCTCATAGTTTCAGAGACTTTTGTTGATGGTTCTTTGACTTTGTTGTTTTGGTGGTAGCATGTGTTAGGGAAAATGTTTACTTCACAGCAATTGGGAAATAAAGAGAGACAGGAAAGGGTCAGGGTACTAACATCCTCTCCAAGGCACATTTAAAATGGCCTAGTGATCCTCTATTAAGCCCTATCTCCTAATGGTTCTGTCACTTTCTAATAGCCCCAAAGATGGACATTTGGGAGACAGCTCCAAACCACAGTAAACGGACATGATCATATCAGAGCTCTGTAGACACTGACTGACTGTCAAAATAAGGTTGAATTGTCACTGAATGCAGGGACCCTGTGGAAGAGACTGGGTAACTGGAAGAAAATGAGATCTTAACTGGTGGAAAGTGTTGGGAATCAGGTGGGTCAGAACTAGGTTTAGGTCAAGAGAGAAAAGGGATGTGTGATGTCTGTGCTGCACTCTAGATGCCTTGAGACACTGAGGCTCATGAGGATGGGATAGAGAGATAAGAGTCCTGAGTCAAATTTTACAACTAATGGCAGCCATGGATTTGTGTGGCTGTTTCTGACTACTGTGTATCCTTTTGGCAAGGTTCCTATTTGTTGCTGAGAGGTGCTTCTTGGGCTTCAGTTGCATTGAGTTGCTTTGCTTCTCTTCATGCTCTACTCTTGTAGGAAGCCCAGTGAGTATATTTCTGCCATCTTGGAACTCAGTGCTTTAGTGTCCAAACGGTACCAGCAGCTGCTTCTGCACATAGACTCACTTTATCAGCTCACCCCTAACGGGATGCGCTTCCATAAGGCCTGCCGCCTGGTGCATGACTTCACAGACGCCGTCATCCAGGATCGACGACGTACTCTCCCCAGTAAGGATATTGATGATGTCCTCAAGGCCAAGGCCAAGTCCAAGACTTTGGACTTCATTGATGTGCTGCTGCTGACCAAGGTGGGTTCTCAAGAGGTAGAATGGAGTTCTTTAAACTTGATTCACTGAGCGTGATAGTGCACACCTTTAATTCCAGTACTCCAGAAGCAGTGACAGGAAGATCATTGTGAGCTTGAGGCCAGCCTAGTATATATATTGAATTCCAGGCCAGTCAGGGCTACATGGTGAAACCCTATGTCAAAATAATTATTAATTAACTTATTGAATAGCTATTTTTGTATTTGCGAGAGTAATTTTTAGACAGAGTCTCACTAAACAGCCCTAGATGACTTTAATCTCATGTTCTTTCTGCACTCACCTTGCACATTCTGGAATTACAGATGTATGCTACATCACTTAGGTCTGTTAGCATTTTAGAGATCAGTCTCATTGTGTTTCTAGTGAATGGGTTCTCCTGTCCCAAATTTCCAAGTCATGGGACTACATGCTAGTACCACATTCTTGGCTTTAAGTGTTAGGATGAATAATGGTGTCAAATATGGGATCAAAAGACAGTTCAGATTTGGGGCTTGATGTAGAGATACCTACGGGCCATGGAAGGCATGTGAGGAAAAGAAAGACAAGCCAGAAAGAAATGTTAGAGAGATAACACCAGAGTCCAGTCAGCACATCCCTGCTAGATCTGAAACTGAAGGATCTAAGGCTTCACTCCATTTATAACTTAATATGTTGTTGAGAAATATACAGATACTTATATCTGTATGTGTGCCTAGAACTGTGCACTTGCATGACCAGGGCAGCCCATCCGTCATCCTCAACAATACCAGCAACAAGTCTAGGATTGTAAGAATGGCTTCCTATCCCCAGCTCCTCCCTTCTCAGGTGATTTCATGATTTTATCTGTGTGTCCAGATAAACCAGATAGGTTTTCCATCACAGGAGACCCATACATTATGAGTCTTGCAGGTTTCACAGCAGAGTTGGCACATCCGTGTCTTCTTTGTTTCAGGGAGTATGCACAGATGGGAAAGGAGAGAGAGCTAGACAGCAGGAAGTGAAGGAGGACAAGGATGTGGAGATAAGAAGAGGAGGGGGAGTGTAGGGAAGAAGTAATGTTGGGAGAGTAAGAGAATAAGAGACAAATGAGCAGGAGAGGACATTTTTAATTCTTGAGTGTGCAAACTAACTCATTTCATTATGGCATTTTCATGAACATAAAACTTTGCACTTTGAGAGAGGACTTTATTCTGGAATGTGAGCAGGTTTTCTCCAATCACAGGTAAATTCTACAGGTATGCAAGCCTAAGAGCCTCCAGAGGAGATAAGACACATTTTCTGTGTGTAGCACCCAAGAATGGAACAAACGAGGACAGTAGGAATTGGGGTGAAGGATAAAACAGTCAGGGGGAAACATATGAAAAATATTTGAAAGTGAAGAGAGAAAGAGAAGTCTAGTCACCGGTCATGTGTAAGGAGACATCATCTGCATTCACACGTCGTCATATTGTTACTGTTTCTCCCGTAGTCCAACCCTTCCTGTCCCAAAGTGTGCAGCGTTGTCCTTGTTGACAAGGCAGACACTATTCCTATCAAACAATCGTGGGAGAACTGACAGAAAGTGTTCCACTCCCCTCCTAGGAGAAGATCCATACAGTGTCTTGAGGGTAATGTTTATTCTCCAGTTTCAAAGGAATGCTGCTGCTGTGCCATCATCCTATACACAGGATTCCTTGTTCCTTTGTTTCCTAGAAATCACTTATCATAGAGAAACTAGGAAACAGCCAGTGGTCACCATTTCCTCCAAACAGCACACACACATACACACACACACACACACACACACACACACACACACACACACACACACACAGAGGAGGCGGGACAGTCAAGAACTGTACCTGGCGGGGAGGGACTGGTGATGATGATCAAGAGAGATGCAGAGGCGCGGTGGGCTTGGTGTATGGATCTGAGAGAGCTGTCAGGTTAGGCATAGACTCATAGACTGCTGTGATCTGGTCTCTTGCCTTGTCTCCAGGATGAAGATGGAAAGGAGCTGTCAGATGAGGACATCAGAGCAGAGGCTGACACCTTCATGTTTGAGGGTGAGGGTCCCACTGTGGAACTACAGAGGGAGCAGAAGTCTCCATTCCAGGGACGTCTTGTATGGACCCTGAAATCCCACTATCATCCATTTTCCCCTTTCCTCATTCTTCCTGGGGTCCTTCCTGTCTGCCTGCTGCCCACTTTGTGGTGCTGAAGTAGCTCTGAGACCCAAGCCCACCTGTCTGTCCCTCAGGCCATGACACCACAGCTAGTGGACTCTCCTGGATCCTGTACAACCTGGCGAAGCACCCAGAATACCAGGAGCGCTGCAGGCAGGAGGTGCAGGAGCTGCTGAGGGACCGAAAGTCTCCAGAGATTGAGTGGTGAGCGCAGGTCCTGGTATGTTACTAGGCCCTTCCCCTGACTCCGCTCCTCAGGTGGTGGAGGGGCTCTTTTTGCTGATTTGCATTATTTCTTGGTGAGTATAGTATCTACCTCATTAACAAGAGGAAGTTTTGTGCTTTGGGACAGAAAGATTTGAACTTCCGAGAGAGTTCCTAACAATATAACAGTGTGTAAGGGCAGATGATGCCACTTTGCAGATATTCATTGTATATAAACTTTCCTTCCTCTTTCTTCCTTGTCTCATGTAACATTTGTTTTCAATGTCTCCCTTCCCTGACTGTTTGCTCTTCCGTTCCCTATTTTCTGCCAGAATAGGAATTCATAAGTGACCCATGGGGGCAAAAGTCATTGTCCGTGTGCTGTGCAATCTGTTGCATCATCCATGCCCCCATCCAGCAAATCCTCCCATAATGCCTTCCCATGAGAATTTTACGGGCAGCTCTCCTGTGCTAAGGATGCAGCTGAGGGAAGTGATGTCAGGAGCTCCAAGCCTGATGGGAGACCAGTCCTGCATCAGGACACTCCCAGGACACACTGGCAGGGGTGAGGTTTAGAGTAAGAGAAGCAAGACTGGGGTAAAGGACGAGTTTCAATCTAGAACCCTGAATGAGGATAAGGAGATATCTGGTTGGGACTGAGGTCAGGGCTGTAGATCCAAGGGAGGAGAAGAAGAGTTGGTGGAAAAGAACAGAGACAAGAGGAGTGGTGGTGTCTGACTTTTCTTGGGGAGATGTGAACAAATGTCTATTTACCTTCCTGGACAACAGACCAAAGAAATGAATCCATGAAAGGCCAATTTAGTGAAACAGTGAGTTTATTAGAATTTCTCACATCAGTATGGAGAGGGGTTATTTACAGCTGTATCCCTGAAATGCCATGCTAATGTGGGTGAGGATTCAAAAAAGCTACATCCCTGGAGCCCCTAGAGAGTCTCTGTCCAGAAGTTATTACCTTTTATTTAACCTTGAGGATCTTTTAGGCTTCAGGAATTTCCTAAGACTTGTGAATTGTTCACACTTTGAGCATAAGTTTTGTGTACCTCCTGAGTCTTTTGGAGCTCCCCGAGACGGAATATTTTAGTTTGGACAAATTTGTTACACAATGAGGAGTAGGAAAGAGGAGAAATATCAACAAAAAGTTGTGTGAGAAAAGGAAAGGGAGAGTGTAGGAGAAAGAAGGAAGAGTGATGAGGATAAGGAAGAGGAGAAAAAAGAAGTAGGAGAATGAAAGGAAGGAGGAGGGAAAAGGGAAGCTATGAAAAGAGAGAGGACAGAAAATTTGCATGTGAGGGAGCAGGGTGGGAACAGAGATAAAAAAAGAAGGCAGTGTGGAGGGAAGGGACAGTGGATAGGAGGATGAGAGGGAGGGAAGGAGAGACTCAAACAGAGGCAGCAGAAACAGAGAAGGGTGGTAAAGAATGTCAAACACTATGTCTTTGTTGTCTCTTACTTAGTGTGTTTTAATTTTGCCCTTACCAAAAGATTCACTTTTTAAACAATTTTGAGTTCCTCTTTATGGTTGACATTTATATGTGTTTACTTCAGAAAAAGCTTCTGAAGGTACCTGGCTAAAGTCTCTCCAGTACTTTCCTGCTTCTCTTCTTTCCATGGGAATGTTCTAACACCGTGGGGAAAGGTTACGTGGGCAACACAGGGGCCGGCAGCCTCTGTTTTGCTCCTGGATAATTGTGTTCCTCAGGGACGACCTGGCCCAGCTGCCCTTCCTGACCATGTGCATCAAGGAGAGTCTGCGGCTGCATCCCCCGGTCACAGTGATCTCCCGCTGCTGTACCCAGGACATTTCCCTCCTAGATGGCCGGGTCATCCCTAAAGGTGCCCACAGGACAGGGAAGGAGGGTCCTGGGCACACAGCCAGGTTTATTCAGAGCAGGCTCACACTCCTGGCCCCACTTCACCACAGGTGTCGTCTGCATCATCAATATTTTCGCGACCCATCACAACCCAACTGTGTGGCCTGACCCTGAGGTGCTGTAACCGCTCTCCCCCATTCTTTTTCGTCATCACAATGATCCTAGTGGAAGGAGCAGGTTTTGGCTGGGGAAATCAGACCTTCCCTTCCCCACCACACACGGGGTTCTGTCTCTGGCTGTGCTGGGAGATGCCACTCACTGTCTCTTTCAGGTCTATGACCCCTTCCGCTTTGACCCAGAGAACATAAAGGACAGATCACCTCTGGCTTTTATTCCCTTCTCCGCTGGGCCCAGGTGAGGCCAGAGGGCTTGAAGTGATGGGGCAAAAGTTTAGGAAAGATGGAGAAGGTGGGAAGTTGGGACAGTCAGGATCTGGGTCTCCTTCCTGCATCTTCGCAGGTTAAGCAAAGATGTGCAGTACCAGGGTTGGGAAAGTCTAAGAACTGCAACCTTGTGCTCATGCGCCTCCCAGCTGATGGTTTCATTTGGGCTCTGAGGTCTGACTGGGGTTCATGGGATACAGAATGTGGATGTATATGAAGGATCCTGAATAAATTAGTTCCCCTTGGGTGCCCCTCCAGCTGGCTGACCAGGGTGGGAAGGTACCTAGGCAAGGTTTCAGTGATAGGATATAGGACACAGTCAGAGTCTCCACCCCGCCCTCCCGCAGGAACTGCATAGGACAGACTTTCGCCATGAGCGAGATGAAGGTGGCGCTGGCGCTCACCCTGCTGCGCTTCCGCATCCTGCCGGACGACAAGGAGCCGCGTCGGAAGCCGGAGCTGATCCTGCGCGCAGAGGGCGGGCTGTGGCTGCGGGTGGAGCCGCTGAGCGCACAGTGACCCCTGCACTTGGGCGGACCATCGCACCCATCCACCTACCTCTGCAGATCCCAGAATACACAGAGCTGTGCGGGAGGCTCGCCGAATACCAGCCGGAGGCGCTGGAAGACAAGGGGGGGGGGCATCAGCAGTTGGGGTTTGGGAGCGAGTCGGGGCTGAAGGCCTTGGGCAAAGATCATTGACTTCCTCTGACTGTTCACAGGCCCCTGCATTGTCCCCCAGCCTAGCACTTGGGCAAAGATCATTGACTTCCTCTGACTGTTCACAGGCCCCTGCATTGTCCCCCAGCCTAGCAGGACTTACTCTCCTGGATAATAGAGAGCTAAGGGCAAGTGTCTGGATGGGATGGAGGCCAGGCTGGAGCTCAGGAGACATTTTAAATTGAGGTACATTTCCATTGCCTTGATCTCCGTTCTAATCTCAAAACTTTACTCATTTTGGGATTCTTCAGTGTTTCTGTGAAAACTAAATTTCTAGGTTTATTAAACCTAAGAAGCCAGGCATTTGTTATTGGGTTTTATTTTTTGTTTGTTTGTTTGTGTTTTGAATAGGAGTCTCACTACACTGCCCTGGGTGCTCTTAGATTCCTACTCCTTTTGTTTGTTTGTTTGTTTGTTTTTGACTGTTAATGCCTCATTTTATTTTATTTTTTTCTATCATTTCCTTTGGGTTTTTTATTTTTCTTTTATCTTTTATTGACAATAGATTTTTTTTCACACAATATATTCTGATTATGGTTTCCCTTCCCCCTACTCCTCTCCATCTTCCCTCCCATCCAGTTCCACAACCTTTCTATCTCTGAATGCAAACGGGCATATAATAATAAAATAAAATAAAGTAAATAAGATGAAACAAAATCAAATCGGAATAGGACAACCAACCAAATAAGAAAAAGAGTCAAAGAAATAGCACAAGAAACACATACAGATACACACACACACACACACACACACACACACACACACACAAGAACACACACGCACATACAGACACACACACACACACACACACACACACACACACACACACACACAGGAATCCCATGAAAACATAAACCCAGAAGCCATTATATTTATGCAAAGGACCTGTAAGGTGAAAAAATGCCCTGAGTTAACATTGTGGAACAAAGAACCTCCAATATTCTGTGGCGTTCCTTTGGTATTGGCCATCTACTGCTGAACCTGGGACTTGCCTTTAAGAGGAGTTTGTTTCCCCAGTGAATCTAAACTCCTAGTTTTCAAGGGACCTCTGTCCTAGCCTTCCGAACAGTTGGAACTATAACTTACAGGACACTGTATTGGGCTAGCCCTAACTGCTATGCATCATTGAGGACAAAGGGCTTAGGGAGATGGGTGGTTGTTTTGAGACTTTTCTGGGGGAGATTCACCCCAGGTAGAGCACCAAAGACAGACCAATAAACCTGCACAAGCCTAGCATAGTGAGCTCATGAGTTTGTTGACACTACTTAAACAGTGTAGACAAAGGGTTCCTTACAGAAGCATAGATGACTCAAAGGTAGCTACATCATAGAAAAACCCTCCTAACTTCAGACAACTTATAGAAGCTGCATCCTGGCACTCCCTGAATGACTTATAAAGTCTGAAGTCTCTCTCTGGCACTCCTTACTACTTATGTAACCTTGTGAGTCTTGTAAGTTTCAGGGATTTCCTGAGATTTGTAAGGTGTTTACTTTCTAAACCTTGTAAGTTTTGTTTTCTTCTTAAGTCTTAAGGCTTTCTCTAGACTCTAATGTTTTGGTTTGAGGGAAATTCCTATACAACAGTAGTACGTGCCATGGGAAACACTCTTCTGTGCTATGTTTATGCCTGGGCTGCTCCCTCTGTGGCTGTAGGGGTCTTAAGACCTTCAGGTCACAGAGTATTGAAAATTATTATGGTCCAGCCTTAATAATCTTCTTCCCAGAGGCCCAGAAGAGAATCTACGAACAGTGCGAATGATTTTTGGGAAGAAGAATCTGAGTACACCCAGCTCTTAGCCCGTAGATTTATTCTTCTCCATCTCCTCTAAGTCTTTTAGGTTTTCATTTATAAACTCAAGCAATAGTAATCCTCCCCGTCAAGCCAGGTCACCAGGCTTGAATTCTTACAGAGTCATAAAGGCAAATAAAAGTTTTCCTCAGGCAGTGACTTTCTTTTACAGGCTTTCTTTTATAACCCCAAAAGGGAGTGGCTAAGGAGGAGGTCAACAGAGAGCTAAGATCAGTTAATATATCAAAAAGGAAATTTATGTGCTCAATCTACATTCCTAGGTAAAATGTTAGGAGTCTATAATATTGTATAAATACCACCAAGGCTGTATAAAAAAGGAGGGTAATTTGTACAAGAAATAAAAATATGCACCTAGCTGTCCCCTAGGTGGTGTCTCCAGAATGGTGTTTACCTTAAGTCAGGAGACTGTTTGCCATTATGGCCTAAGATACTTGAGAAGTATATCAGATAAATACACTGTTAGGGGTTCTTGGAAGTATACATTGCAAACAAGAAAATCATTGCAGGAACTGGCTAATATATATACAGAAGCTAAAATATCACCAAGACTCTTTAAGCCATGGCTTGACCTTTGGAAAAGTCCTTGACCTTTCCAAGTAGTAGCTTTTGTGATAGTAGCTGGATTCCATTACATTTTCCTGTGGCTTGCAACAACACAGTTCAAGTCTTCCAGGTGATAACATATTGGTGGATAATTGGGATTATTGCTAGCTATAATAAGGAAGATAGTTCAGTGGTTAAATATACTGACTGCTGAGGGGGCTCCCACAAGCGTCCAAGCAGGGAATCAAACCGGTGAAGAGATGAGAATGAAAACTCAGTTCACATTGGCTTTGTCAACCTGAATCAGACTTGGGAAGTCTGATGCCAGGCTGTCGCTAAAGTTTTCCTGCCTGGCCCACAGTCAGGACAAATCTCTCTCACCTGCCAGTCCCACAGCCGTCAGACCCAACCAAGTAAACACAGAGACTTATATTGGTTACAAACTGTATGGCCGTGGCAGGTTTCTTGCTAACTCTTCTTACAGCTTAAATTAATCCATTTCCATTAATCTATACCTTGCCACATGGCTCGTGGCTTACCGGCATCTTCACATGCGGCTTGTCATCATGGCGGCTGGCAGTGTCTCTCTGACTCAGCCTTCCACTTCCCAGTTTTTTCTCCTCCTTGTCCTGCCTATACTTCCTGCCTGGCCACTGACCAATCAGTGATTTATTTATTGACCAATCAGCAACACATTTGACATACAGACCATCCCACAGCACCAGGCAGTTCATTATTGGCATATTTAAATACAATACAATTCCAGGCCACAATCATTCCCATTCCAGGTTTCCAGGCAACAATTATTCCAATTCCAGGTGCACAATAAAGCTTAAGGTGTGACTACATAGAAACTCCTTTACAAAGTACATATGACCATGAGGATGGGTTCTATAGCTAAAAGGCCTAGAATTCAGTCTGGTCTCTGATCGATAGATAGCATAAAGGTCAGCAAGCTATAAAATAGATGTGACATCTTCCCTGAGGATGGATTTAAATGGGAGCTAAAGATAACAGTCTAGGGAGGGAGAGTCTGGGATAAATATTCTGGGGAATTTGGATGAGGTCTGCCTGTATAGCAAAAGGTCACCAGGTCATTAACAAAATCCACTCCAACCTTCTGGGTGGGAAAACGGGTATTTTATATCCTCCAATGAGAAGAGACCCCATATGTTTGACGTTCGTGGTTCCCTAGTGGTCTGTGGGCAAAGGACCTTTGTGCCCCCAACAAACTGCTATTGCAGAGTGCCCAGGTTTGGTTTCCTGCACTCACATGACAGCTCATCACTCTCTATAATTCCAGCTTCAAGGGCTCTGACTCTTCTGGAATCTGAAGGCACTACATGCATGTGATGCACATACATATCTCAACCCAGTCTAGACACCAAACAGGATTTCATGTGTGTCAGTGGAATCCAACTGACTCATGGAGAAGTATGTACTAGGCATTGACTAAGTCATTCATCTAGAATAATAATCCTCATTTCCATTTATCTCCTACATAGATAAGTACCACAACATGCTCTTGTCCCTCCACTGAATCAGGTGGGCAATTGCTATTATCTTCACTTTACCAACTAGGGCCTCAATGTCTTAGGTACTTGTGAGTTGACTGACCATGTAGACCTTAACAATGGTTCTTGTGGATGTTAGCCATGAGCTATCAGCCAGTGTACTCAACTCTTCCAGTGGACAATGCCCCTTGCCCTTGATATTCAGTTGTCCTAGTTTCCCTAAGGGACCACCTTACTTCACAGTCCTACCTATGACCCCTTATATTTCCTAACTGAATCTATCATCTCCCCATCCCATGAAATCTTAGACTCTTCATGATGGTACCATCCATTGCTACCATTTTGGGTACCACTCATTTCATATACTTACTTCCTACACCCTAAATCCTTCTCACTTCTTCATCTCATCTGCTGCCAGATAATTCAACTTTGGGGTCAGTTTCTTCCCTCACAGGCTTCTCTCTTAACTGTTGCTGTGTTGTCTTGTTAATACCAAAGATGTGAGGAAAAAGACCATTGACCCAAATCATCATGACCAAATTAATTAAAGCAAGCATTTTTACTCATATACACAGGCTGCCTTCCCCTAAGACAGGGTTCAAGAGATCAGCATTGAACATGGGCAATATAATATTTTTATAGCTCAGGGATAGGGGGTTTCCAAATGGGGGATTTGGCAGGCAAATAGACAGAGTTACAATAATATAACAAGTTAATAATAATGACCTTCTGAAACAAAGACATGATTGCAAGATGGTTATAAGGTAGTCATAACAACAGGTGGTCATAATAACCTTTTGAAACAAAGACATGGCTGCCATTTCCTGGAACATGCAGTAGAGGACCATCTGTAGTTAAGACTATAGATGGAGCATAGCCCAATCTTGGGGAAGCAGAGATTTAATCATAAACAGGAATGAACCTAGTTTGTCTTTACTATAGGATGGCTTTCAAATCAAAGATGGAGGCAGGCTGGTACATTGGTCTTCTTAATACACTATCCTTAATTGAAGAGTTATAGTGCAGGTATTGCGTTTGGGGGAGTTTGTCCTCTAATTA